GAGAGAGAGAGAGAGAGAGAGAGAGAGAGAGAGAGAGAGAGAGACTGCATAGCCTGGGACAGCAGGAACCAGGAGGGCTGTGGACTCACCTCAGTTTATTGCACTCTGAGACTTGAGTGGGCTGTGGAGAGCCCACATCTGTGTTACACATCAAGGCTATTTCAACTTTCCTTCTGCATGCATGTGTGCTTAGAGGCAATTCTCTTTCTCTTTTCAGTAATTGTCTAGGTCATTCTCCTTACTCTGCCCCACACTTCATGAAACTTAACAGCTGCCCCCAAACAAGCACTCCCTGCCTCTTGCCCGTGGGCATTGCTGAGGGACAGAGGGACATCACTGGAATCATTCACACTGGCTTGAGTGGCTTTGACACCTTTTAGCCACTCTGATAGCCAAATTGGGCCCCTCTGGCTGTACTACTTGCTGTTGATTGGAATACTGTTTCCTTTCCTGTAGCTACAAGCATCCTAACCAAAACAGAATCTAACCTGACATTAGGTTGGGAAAGTATCTGTCTAAGGTCATTCTGCATCTAACTGTAGCAATGTAGACTCCCTTTCCCGATCTCCTCTCATAATGAAGAAAACAGACATATTCTTTCCTTCTACAATACATGGGTTCGTCTGGGGAATAAAGAGGGACTCAGCGTGTAATTGGAATGAGCAGAGGCAGCCCTGTGAGGTTCAGAATAAACATTTGTGCCCATGTGGCTTAACCCCAGTCTACGACTCACTCTATTTGTGTATCATTCAGGGATTTATTCACTCACACAGCAGATAGCATCAGGCCATCGGAATATTTACAGAGTTCCTGCCGACAAGCTGCCCACATTCTTAGTGAGGTCACATACAGTACACAGATGTGAAGACACTGAGGTAAATAGCAACTACAGGAGTAAGCATTGGAGGAGTAAGCATTGGGCGCCACAGGAGGGGAGAGCCTCCGACACTGCAGACTCAAGGCAGCTGCATCGTTGGTTTTGTGTCCCAAGTGCTTTGCTGTGGTATTTACATTTATTAACCAACACACTTCCCTCTCGTCCCACTCAGAGAAGGCATCATTATTTCCATTTTACAGCTGAGCAAACAGAGGCTAAGAGATGAAAGGGAACTTTCCCAAGGTCAGAGAGTGTCAGATACTGGAGTCCGGGCATGGGCTCTTGAACCTACTCTGCATGAATGTTTGCTAGTGGGGTGACATTCGGAGCTCCGTTTTGCAAGATCGGGCAACTTGGTAAACTGGTTGCAGCTGGTGGATGGAATAACTGAGAATGGTTTGGCAGTTGGGAAAAGGCTTTTCAGGTGAGAGGGAACAGCCTGGGCAAAGCTAGAGAGAGAGAAGCTAAGAACAGCAGATTGTGTCTAAAGGCAAAGGCTTGGAGGCCGGTCTTCCTCCATGAAGCAGTCACAGAGAGAGTCTCCATCTCCTTCTTACACTCAGTCTTCTTGTTGCTGGGACAAAATATCTCACAGAAACAGCCTAACGGCTCATGGCTTCAGAGGGATTTGTATCCATCATGGCAGGGAAGGCATGGTGGTGTCCATGGCAACAGAGCCATGTGTTGGAGGGCTCCTCACTTGGTCCAGATTGGCCCTGGAGGTAGGTATGACTTTACAAGTCCATCCCTAGGGACCTACTCTGCCAGCTAGCTCTAGCTCCTCTCGTCTCTATGGCCTTTAAAATAGTGTTCCAAGCGGAGGTTCAAGCTTTCAAAATAGGAGGCTGTAGGAGACAGTTTAGTTTCAAATCATGGCGCCTCATAACCTGTCTTCCAGAACCACGAGCCAAATTCATATCTACTATTTATTAATTGCACTGTTTGTGTCATTCTGTTGCAAGGGTAGAAAACAGACTAAATCATGAGGGAATGAGGGGGTGGGGTAGGAGATTGAGTAGAAGGTCCGTGGACAGCCGCTGCTGTTGGGGGCGGTTCTACTTCATTCCCTCCCTTTGTGATCTCTGTCTCGATTTCTATGCACGCTCACTGAACACCCATCATGGGAGCCTGGAAACCCGAGCAGATGCATGGCAGCAGCAGAAGCAGCCCTACCATCCAGATGTCTGCAGGAGAGGAGAGGAGGTGGGACAGGCCGGTGGACAGCCTAGCCAATCATCACAGGAGGCATACCAGTCACAAAGTGACTGGGGGCTGATGTGCCTCTCTAGGAACACAGGGGCGGCCAAGTGTGGAAGAGCAAACATAGACAGCAGCAGCCCCTGTTTCTGAGAAGTCACAGATGACTTAGTGAGGGGAAGCTGTGAGGTGATGGTAACACCAAGTAAGCAAGGACACTGAGAAGGGAGAAAGTGCCATGGGCTTGACCTGACATTTGAGCCTGGCCTTCATTCCAGTCAGAATGGTCATATTTGAGTGCTATGTACAAGGTCTTAGAGGACATACCTTAAAAAGATGTGTATATGTGTGTATGTATATATTCAGAATATATTCATGTGTATGTGAATATATTTAATTTATACATAATTCATATATATATATATATATATATATATATAATTTGTGTATAATTTCCACACACAAACACACACATATATATGTATATTTATGTATGTATATGTGTGTGTATACAGATATATGTATGTGTATAAAGTTATATATATATGTATTCAGAATCTTTCATAGCTGTGTGTGATCCATACATGGAGCCCTATTTCTCTTTTGATAAAACTGAGGTCCAGAGAAGTAAATGACCTACTCAAGGTCATATAGCTGGCACAACTTGGGGACAATTCAGCTTTTAGGGCCCATGTTCTTTCCAAGAGAGCTCATGCCTCCACAAATAGCACGAGGCATGAGGGAACAACAAAGTCCATGCACCTGTGCACCATCTACTCTTAGCTACTTCCTTGGACCGCAGCCCGGAAAGTGCCCCATCTTGCTGTACCCTTTCAGTCTTGTAGGGGATCTCCGGGCTCTGGACTAATCCCATAGGAAGATTTAGTTACATGGGTTGGCTGGCCTCTCTGTAGGAGAACTGGTTAATCCTCCAAACTGCCAGTTGCATCTTAGCCTTGCTGATCAGAGTGGGGCTCTGATCCCTGTTCGGGGATCTTTGAAAAGTGAATGGCAGCAGTCACCCTGAAGCTTTCTCTGCAGTGTTCGTGTTCAAGGCTTAGGTAGGAAGCCGGACAAAGTTGTTGGCCCCAGGCAGTGAGGCATGCAAAAATGCGTGGGGGAGCTTCAAGCACTTGAAAAAAAAAAAAAAAAGGAAGGAAGGAAGGAAAGGGCATGGTCGTTGACTGAGTGTGGAGTGTGCTCACTGTGTTTAGGCTTTACAAGCATCTGAGAGAAAACATTACCCACAGGATCCAAGGCTGTGATGCCAAAGACTACAAGACCAGTCACCTCTCTGTCATTTCTCTTGCGGGAATACAAATCTCTTTCAAATGACACCAAGGCCTGGAGGTGGTATTTTGCCTAGGCTCCCCCCACCCAATCCTATTACTCCTGGTTTACACACAGAAAGGAAGTTGCTCAGAGGTCAAGCAAGGTCACAGAGTTAGTCACTAGTTCAATAGATCTTAAATTTAGGTCTTGGACTGCAGGGAAGTATGTGGTGGCCGGGTTGGGGGTGGGTGGCAGTGGAGAAGAATACTTCTAAAGCCACTGAACTCCTAAGAGGAAGCTGCAGTTGGTGGTGGTGGGGGCAGGTCCCAGCTTGACATATGGCCATGTTTATTGCCTGTGTCCCGTTCAGATGGGGTGGCAGGGAGCAGAGGGGCTCTTTTCCCCACATGTGGGTCTGAAAGCAGCTCTCTCAGAGACGCCTGCTGTTCTCATTCCTTTCCCAGGAGCTGGTCCATTGCTGGCACTTGAGTGCAGAGGCCATTCCTCAGAGAAAGGCTTCTTTCTCTCAGGAAGTGGAGTTTGCAGAGCTGCTGTCTCTTTGGCCACTTTGGCCCTGGCCATTGGGCAGAGCTACACCAAGAGATCAGTGGCTTCACAGCCAGGGAGTAGCTTCTGCATAGCTCCATTTGTAATAATTGTAATTATAATAACAATAATAGCTATACTAATTATTTTAAATTCTCCCAATATATTTTACTGAGTGCATTGTTGCTTTAGCAAAAAGTTTTTGGGTGTAGAGTTTTATCATTTAAAGAAATAGTGACTTAACCTCTCCCCCCAAACCCCCCAGGTTTTTTATGCTCCTTAAAGTGGGTTCCTTCCAATACTCACAGGGATTAGCAATGGACACATTCTGGGACCCAGCGATGAACATATCCTGGGACCCAGTGAAGGACACATTCTGGGATCCAGTGAAGGACACATCCTGGGATCCAGTGCGGGACATGTCCTGAGATCCAGTGATAGACACGGCCTGGAATCCAGTGAGGGACACGTCCTGGAATCTAAATTACATGGTAGATGCTGAGACTGTGGAGCTTGAGGAAGGGAAGTCACCAGGGAAGGAAAAGGATATCTCTTTAAATGGGGATGACATTGTCATTCTGAGCATGGGGCTGTCTTTGTCAAGGGCCCTGGCACCTTCACTGAGACCCCAGACCTCTGGGTCATTGGCTACAGAGTACTTCATTCCTGATGAATCCTGGCACTTGCTAGCTGTGTGACATTGGTGGGGCACTTAAACTTGACCTTCCTTACAGACAGTCCAGTTTACTTCCCAAACTGAGGTACTAAAGTTCCTGGTGAAGTGCATCACTGTGCTGGGTGAAGTGACATCAACCAATTAAAACCATGACATTCGCTAGTAAAGCACTTGCTTTGTTAGAGCACTAGTGGTGCGTGTGCATGTGCGTGTGCGTGTGCGTGTGCGTGTGCGTGTGCGTGTGCGTGTGTGTGTGTGTGTGGTGTTCTGATGGTGGCAGCAGTGGTGGTGGTTAGGGTAAATGCTGATAGTGTGATGGTATTGGTAAGTGGTAGGGCTGAATGTGTACTTCAGAAATGACACCTTGATATTCTCATTCCAGAAAACACAGCTATGGAGTAAAGATGCTCTTGGATTGTCAGGCTCTGTCTTAGGCTACTATTGACTACCTATTTTTTTTCTGGTGCCTTTTGCATGTTTAAAGATTCTTGAGAGGAAAAAATGTGGTAGACAACTTTCTCCTATATAATGAAGATAATACCCTCTCCCTTTAAGAGCAGTGATACAGGGGTTGTGTAAGAGGCCATATTCAGAGCCCCTCAAGGTTTGGTGATGAGCTCTTAGGTAGATCAAAGGCATCACCTGTGGGAGGAGAGGTTGCTCACGATAATTAAGCCTCCTCTCTGAACGTTGCTATTAAGATGGCCAGAAGTCTAGTCACAGACAAGAGAAAATATTTACGAAACACATGTCTGATAAAGAAGTTATATCCAAAGTATACACAGAGCTTGTGAACTCAACGATAAGAAAACAATTTAATCTAAATAGAGGCCTTATCAAGTGAGATACCAGAAAGGCAAATGCTTATGTGGATAGAGGAACAAAGTAATTTGTCATCAGGGAGTTACAAGATATCAAGACCATGAGGTATTGCCCTGCAACTGTTAAAAGCCCAACCCAGTGTGGAGCAAGTTTCAGGCACTGTTTGTGAATGAAAGTTGTGCTTCTAATGTTTAGCTATGAAGAAAAACATGGCCACTTCTTACAAAATTATTTAAATATACTCTCATCATGTGATGTAGCAATCGTATTTACAGATATGTCTCAACTGGTTTAAAACAGACCCGAAGAAAACCACATACTAGCTTCTTACTTTCATAATTAAACTGTGGGAAAATAGCCATACAATGTCCTGCAATAAGCAAACAACTAGACAAATTGGGACATTATGTAAAATGGAATATTATCTCCTCCTAGATAGGGTTTCTTCATTTCAGCCGTGGCTGTCCTGGAACTAGCTCTGCAGACAAGCTTGTCCTTGAACTCAAGAGATCCTCCTGCCTCTGCTTCCCAAGTGCTGTAATTAAAGACATGTACAACCATCACACAGCATATTTAATGATTTTTAAAAACTAAAAAACTATCAAGCTGTTGAACTTATTTTTTTTTCTGTTTGTACAGGGGTAACACACTGTATTAAATATGTAAGGCCTTACCTACGTGGGTTTGATTACAAAAACTAATAAAGTATTCTCTAAATGAAGAAAACTATCAAGTTATAAAAAGACAAAGCTAGATTACAGTACATGTTGCTAAATAAAGGGATCTTATTTGAAATGGCCACATACTGTATAACCCCACACATGTGGCTCTAGAAAAAGGAACACAACAGCCACAATAAAGAGTCAGTAGTTCCCAAAGACTGAATAGAAGGTATTTTAGTAGCAAAATGATTGTACATGGCTGTAAGTTTGTATGCATGGTAGTAGGCACTTATTAAACTAAGTAGTACACAACTAACCTTAAACTATCACATGTTAAACATCATTCAAACGTCTAAGTTTTTCAGAATAGATTATACAATGTGACAAAACAATTAAGATTTTTAAAAAATTTATTTATTTTGTGTTTCAGAACTTTGGCCTTCATGTACCAAGTACTTGCTTGGTATCCCAAAGGTCATAATTGGGCCTCAGATTTCCTGGAACTGGTGTTAGGGATGGTTATGAGCTGCCCGTGTGTGCTGGGATCAACCGTGGCTCCTCTAGAAGAGCAGCCAGTGCTTTTAGCTGCTGAGTCATTTTTCCAGCACTCCCATCCCCCAACATAGTATTATTTAAATGTATGTAAAAATCACAGTGAAGGTTTGCAGTGGGGAATAAAATATTGCTGTCTTAAGTAATTTTGGTGATGAATGAGGTCTACAAAATTAAAGGCAAAACAAATTGTGTTCAAGTCCTTGTTATAGTTTGACTCTGGAAGGTCCAGCACAGGTTCATGTCCAGAATGGCTTCTCCTTGGCTCTGGATGCTGTTTTGAAGAAGTCAGATCTAGCTGGCAGAGTAGGTTACTAGGAATAAGCTTTCTAGATGCTATGCCTGCACCCTCATTCTGGCCTGCTTTTCTGTCTCCTGGTCTATACCATACGACAGTTCCCACAAGCTCCCACAGGTATGGATTGGACTGCTCCCCTGTGATATGCCCTCCCCACTGTTATGGACTGCCTCTGAAACTGAGCCAAAATAAATCCTTCACACATTAAGTTGGTTCTGTCAGGTATGTTATCAGAATAGTGAAAGAAAAAAGAAAAAAAGAGTCAGTACAGAGATTTGGCATCAGAGAAGTGTTCTGGTACTGTGTTAAGCTGCCAGAAATAAATTGTAGTAAAGTATGGAGATACAGGCTAGAGAAGCTCTCTGATATTATTAGCAGAAATGAATAGGCAATTCTGATGGGAATTTGAATACCAGAATGCTGATAGAAATGTGGACAGTAAAAATTATGCTTGTGAGATTCCAGGTGGAATAAAGTCTATTGGGAACTGGGCTAAAGACTATTCATGTTACATTCTGGTGAAGAATATGTTTAAATTCTCTGTATGTCCTGAAAATATGGGTGAGAATAAATTAAAAAGTAATGGACTAACTTATTTGCTGGAGGGGATTTCAAGATAGCATAACCTGCAGGCTGTGGCATGGTTGTTGCTCATTACTTTTAATCAGCTTAGTAGTAAGAATAGAGAGCAAAGCAGAGAAACTGGAAAATTATGTAGAAAGGAGCTTGCAAGTGGCCAAAATCAGATACTAAAGTGAAGATACGATGGACATAGTTGCTAAAGAGATTAAGGTCATTAGGAGAACCAAGACTAAAGGAAATGTATACTGAAGGTGAGACTCTTCTCTCACCATAGGCTCCAGGGCACAAATATGCTAACCAAAGCGGTGCCCTGATAGGAAAGGACTGCCTAGAGAAATGTTTTTCCATGTCTAGGAGCTAGGCTATATCTTAAGCTCATAGTAGAACATGATGTTGTCCAAAGGATGCTGGTGTTACAAGCTTGAAGAATGAAAGAGACAAGAGAAAAGTCACTGAGGTCAAGACATGTGTAGGTTCAGATTTTCTTCAAGGAATTCCTGGGTGGGGAATGCCTATGTTTCACTGGGGACACTAGGATGTACATATACACGGTTATATATGTGTATTTATCTCATATGGGTATGAGATAAAGGAAAGTAATGATGAACATGTCAAATAAATGCTTAAAGGGATATCAATGGCCAAAGCTGGAGTAATTTGAACAACAAAATAAATAAAGCAGCACTGAATTATAATGCAAAATATGAAAATTATTTCTGTGTTTATACTGATATAATTCAATAACAGAGGGAAGACAACAGGAAGGGGATATATACAAATTTCCACACAACTGAGTTCCAAGCAATTTGTAGCTCTTCTGATTAAAGGAGTTGGAAAGTAATATGCACAGTGCACAGTGACTTCCTTCTGGAGACTACATCAGAGAGAGAGAGAGAGAGAGAGAGAGAGAGAGAGAGAG